CTTCTCTTCTCTTCTCTTCTCTTCTCTCTCTCTCTCTCTCTCCTTCTCTCTCTCTCTCTCTCTTTCCCTGCAAAATTGGATATTGAAGTACGATGTATTCGGCGCTCTGACAGTAGAGGAGGCAAACGATGCGCGACGTTATAATTGAAGAAGTAGAATAGAGAAGAAGAACACTGGTGTTACATTCTTGCAAAAATTATCTTTAATAAAAAAATTATTACTATTTAATGTCTTATTGTTTTACATATCGCTTCTATATTTTTGTGAAGTTTATCGGATTATCTGTCGGTATGTACACAAAGAGAGATCTCAGATCCGATCGGATCTACATCAAATCGGATCTACCGGATTATATCAAAATGCTTCTTTTTAACCTTCAATTTTCAAATCTCATTTATTAATATGTCACGATTAAAAGAGAAGGTGTTAACATCACACAGCAGAGAATGCGTGTCCGGTGCATTTTTTTACATCAATGATGCATGAGCAACGCACCATATCGAGATGAACGCCGCGATGAATGGACTTTCGAGCTATTCGATTCGTTTGGATTGGAATAGTTATACGCGGCAAGTGCATATATAGGCGCGCACGCGTGCGCAACGTTAATTCCGTATGTAAAATGGCTCTCTACGTTAGCCGGAATTTCGAAAATGCACGCGAGCCGTGCGTGCAAGCCCCTCGATTCGTTCGCGATTCCTGAAAATCATTTGAACATCAACAACTTTCTGTCCTCCCTTTTATACTCTCATCTGTTCGTGTTCTCTCTTGTCCTCTCATTTGCACGTATATGATCAAATTACTCGTAAATACGCGAAATTGGATGTTTGTTTCGACATTCTTTAACTTAATTACTTGTTCATATACATATGTCCGAGGAAAAATAATTTTTTTTTTTTCATTACCGCGTATTTAATTGTAAATTAAATTTGTTTTATAAATTACACGTAAGTGTTTACAAATTAAGTTAATTTTCTATTTAAGTTTTATGCTCTGCAACGATAGCGTTTCTGTGTAAAAACAATATTATATGTTTGTTATTAATTTTTCTGTATACATCTGTAATATTATGATAAAAATCACTATCGTATCAAAAGCGACTTGAGTATGAATGCATTGTATGTAAAGAATCGATCAATGTTTGTTTTGCAATAAGAATAAAAATGAGAAATGTCACATCTAATACTCATGCGTCTACGATTTTTCTTTTTAAGTAGTTGGGAGAGCGCGCCCTTCGTCTTCCCCATCGGGGAGATAACTCTGATGGACATCTCTGCGAGACCGCGTTTCGCAGTTTGAAAGGTTTCTCATACTTATAGGAAATTAACCCTAAAGTTTCCAAGAGGAGGAAATATTATCAAATAGAATTAGAATGTACAAAGTATAATTTCGTTTTGCGTCTGTTCTTGTTAACAACTTATTGGACGGAATTTCATAGTTTTTTTTTTTTATTTTTTTTTGCTAAATCGATCTAAATGACTTTCGTACACGAGATTACGCGGGAATGACTAAACTGAATCGCGATCTGACGATCGCGATTACGCGAAATAGGACGAGACGAAGCTCGACTCAGGATTTCGACGAACTTTTCCGTATCGATCGCACACGTCCTTGCGGATAACCTTCCGCGAATCTTCAACTCTCGACGAATTCGATTGTAAATTTTCCACCTCGAACTTGAAGGCGGTCGCCGGTACATACATATACATATGCGATATGTGCACTCGGCACGAGTGACCGAAGCGCACGTGTGCGCCGGAACTCGCGGTTTATCCGCGCAGGAATTTATAATGCACGCACACACACATTACCGCTTATCCAAAGTGAATTGAACCAAAACATATCTCACGTCATCTTTTTGTTATTTATTACTTCCGCTTTCTTAATCGACAATAAAAAGAGAAAAGAGAGGAAGTTTCGTCGAATCAAAATTTTCGGAGTTGAACGTCTGGAGCTAAAATGCCATATTTCGACACACATTACTTAATTACAGTCATCATCATAGCCATCACTTCGTAGCTCTTTTTTTGATGATTACGGCCCCAAGAGAGAGTATAATGTCGTTTTCTTAATAGCACTCTTGTAATACCGTAAGATGGAGTTGGATTGCACCAGCGGGAATAATTCTGTCCTACGATGAATGAAGATCGTAGGACGATGTAATGTATTATTCTTGGTTTCGGTATTTATACGTTCCATTCTTTTATTTCCTGTGTTATTTATTATTATACAGCGCCTTATTGAGAAATTAAATTTGTGTATTTACTTTTGTCGGGAAACGAGAGAAAAGAATTATTCTCCTCTATGTTGTTGAACTCATTGAAAATTACATTGAGTTTCCGCGGTACGATTTCTGTTTAATGAAAAGGGCGAGCACTCGTGTAGATCACCGACGCTCAACCGGCGCGGCGGGGCGCCCCGTCGAAAATTCGCCCCGGCTAAAAACGCGAGGGCGATTTTAGCCGGCGTCGCTCCTCCTGCTCTTCGAGCGGGGTTCGGATTTGGGTTTTGCCGCAGGGGTAGGTGCGCAGAGTGAACGCGGATCGATCCCCCTCGGCGCGAGTGCGAATGGGGGGTTGTGCGACCGAGTCGCCCTCTCCGTTGCTCGGTATCCCCGCTCGGTTTGTTCACCCCCGAAAACGGGAACGTTCGAAGGGTGCTACGTCGCTCGTGGAACCACCGAAAATCGAACGATCGACAAAAACCAGTGAGCGTCGATATCGCGCGATGCACTTGAATTTCAATTTTTTTTTTTTTTTTTTTTTTTGATTCTTTTTTTTAAGGCGAGACGGGAAATATTCTTGAGCTAGAAGCGAGAAATCGGCGAGGATGTTTCTTCATCGGAAAAAAAAAACAACGCGCCAACGTCGGCGCGATACATCGCGAGTCCTCATTATCGGACGCGTTTTATCAGACTTCGTACCGCCGCTATAACTCGAATGTAGGTTAGCGGCGGCGGATCCAAGAGAAGGGATGCCGAGTTTTCTTCGAAAAATCAATAGACATTTCTGCCCCTGGGTTTCACCTTGTCGCGCTAATAACGCTCGCCGTTAACTCGCTTCCGAAGATTCATATCGCGGGCGTTTGTATCGACGAGTCTAATGAGCCTCTAACCTTGCGGTGAAAGTCCTCATATAGAATTCATTATTTTTCATAAATTTAATAATCGTAAAACCGAGTCTTCCTTTTACTATTACATGAATTTTTTAATACTATAACAAAAGAATTGCACACAAACAAAAAAATAATATGAAATTAAATAAAAGTAAATTTTGTAAGTTTTTCACACCTCGAAATTTATAATTAACTAAAAAGTAAGTCTTGTTTTCCCAATCGCACCAAGAAAGATATATCATGCAAAACAAATCAACTAAATTAATCAAAAAATACGCAAATACAGCTCTCATTGAGGAAGTCCGTAAACACCCCGTATTGTAGTCGAGGGTTAACCGCAGAGTGCAGTTACTCGGTTCGCGATAGATTTTCACTGTAACAGCCATAACGTAGTAACAATAGAGTGTCGCGTTTCCGAATAAATCTGCACAGTCTTTGCAAACACACGTGCAAATACGTGATAATTCGCGCGGCTACCGTCTCGTCGATCATCGGTCGATCGTCGGTCGCGAATCGAAGTTGGGACGAGGTCGAGCGTGAAGAGATCCCGTTTACCTTCGCAAGTACGTTTCCACCTGGCCCGTACATACCTGAGGGACCTGTGCAGTCACGCTCGCTCGGTTTCCAACGAGCGCCGCTGTACCACCGACTATCTTAATATTCGCGTGACTTGTTCGCAGGTAAAATGTCGCGACTACAACCAAACATGTTAATGTCACGCGTCCAATCGCGCGATATTTCTTTGCGACCAAGTCCAGTTTCGCCAATGACAAATAAACGAATAAATCCCGAATATTACGTGCGAATAACTTATCTACCATTTTTTAGAAACTTCTAACATTTAAGCTCCAGACTCGCAATTATAAAAGTTTTTGCATAATAAAGTTTTAGTGCGACTTGACTTTTGTTTTAAACTTCTCTTTCAACATATCTATATTTTTCTATCGTGCTATGTGTTGGGAACTCGCAATGTTGATTGATTATTACATTCATCGTTAAATATAAAAAAATGATCATTAGTTTTAATCATTTTTGTACTTTAAAGATTAGCAAACTATTTTGTCGAAGTAAATAAGAAACAAAATAATTTGCGGCAGAGAGAAACGCCTGGAAAACACTACTCTCTTTTTTCGATTTTCTTTCACGTCTTCTTTTCTCAATTGATTTTATCGTCCACGTCAGGATTGCTATTACCGTCTCAGGCGCTGTTATTATTTGTACTTGGTTCCTAGATCTTTTACAAACTATTGTGCAAAGGACTGTTTTTGGTAAAGTTTTCTCCTTCGGGATATATCCGAATGATTTATATATATATATATATCTCTCTCTATCTCGCTCTTTCTCTTTAAAGGTTTTTAAAATTTATATTTAAAACTTTTCAGACAAAAAATATAAAAAAAATTCGATTCTCTTTTAAAACTTTGTTTTTTTTTTGCAAAAAATTCTCTTTAATCGTTTATAATGTGAGAACTATTGGTTTATTAAGTTTCTCGTTAAAAAAATCGAAGAGTAATAATACAAGCTCTAATTTTTTTTCTCTCTCCTTATTTCTCGAAAATATAAAACGGAATTGTGCAAAATATCTAATTTCCATTTAATATATAATAATAATAATAATAGGAACACGCGCTCTGTGTGTACTTTGTTATATAATATTGCCACACTTCTACTAGTTTACACTATACTACACAGCACACAATCCTGCTTAAGTGTTGCTGAAAGGACCTCCTCCTGCAACCCCTACTCCCCGTTTACCGCGATGCTGCGCGAGGGATGTGAACGGAGGTCTCTATTTCCGGCCGATATTTAAATCCGACGGGGACCGAATCCGCTCGACCTTAACCGAAGCGTTCGGTCCGGCTGTCACATTCGTGGGGTTGCCTAGGGTTGCCGAATGCCCGTCGTCGTCTCTCGTGGCGACGACGGCGGTGGCGTAACGCGTTAATGAAAATGGCAACGCGCCGGCGACGCCATGCGGCAAAAGCCTCGACGAAAACTACGTATACGCTCGCAAATTGTACAGCTTTATCAATCTGAAATAACAGCGACACGAGGAAACAATATGAGCGACAATACGAGACTCACCAGCGTTCGGCCGATCAGCGGGAGGATCACGTTGCGATGCGGTTGACACGTATGTACGTTGAAACCTGTAAACATTACGAGAAATATTGCTCATTAGTAGAGTTACAGTACGTGCGTTTTGTTATAGGTATAGATGGGGACAGATTCCAAAATTATATCGCGATCGAAAGATTTTATAGAGTATCGTTGATAAAGTGCAACGTAAGTATTATTTTTCTTTCAAGTTGATGTTTGTTATTGTTAGATTTTATTGCGTGGGGACAAAAATAATAGAGAATATATATATATATTTGTATGCTTGTGTTACACGTTCGTTTCATCATAGCGATATGTGTTTCTACTGATTAAATGTGTAGATGTCTCTGTAATATCAAATGTAACAGTGTGAAAAGGATTTGGTATTATAGGTACAAGAAGTAGTTTTTTATTTTTGCATAAAATAAGTAAAAAATTTATGTATGTAGTGTATGTTTGATATATTTGTGTGTACATGTGGTTGTTTTTTCCCATGCATATATTTATATAAATATACTACTTTTTTGATACACTGTCAAATTAAGAAAATGTTTCTGTGTTGGTAAAACTTTTTTAGCACATGTTAAAAATATCTTTTGCCTTTTGATTTCTTTTTTTAGTTTTTCTTATATGTGCATATAGAAAAATATAAAAACTTTTATTAATGTTATCCTTACAGATGTTTTCAATGTGCAAGCAGAGGATAATGAAAGCATTAGTTGCAAAGCAAATGCTAATAGCACACACAGCAAGTTAAAAAATACACAGGAAATTTCCCAGAGAATCTTAATAAGAGACAAAAAATGTCTTTGGAAAAAATATGATATATTTTTATTATTGTTTCAAAACTGGCTGGCTATATTAATAAAATTATATTAGGAAAAAGACATATTTAAAGATGATATTGGATGAAAGTAATATTTTGCTTAATGGAAACACATTCTATCTGTTATATACATATTCATGCAAATAATTTAATAATTTTTTTAAAATTGTAAAGAGAAAAACTATCATAACCTCTTCTGAGTTCATTTAACTTCTAAAGAACTCATTTTTTATATAATTAGAAATAAACGATTTTTCTTATATAAAAATTATTTTGCCCGAAATAGTTTGTGATTGTATGATAAAGCAGTAAAAAAAAAAAATAAAATAGGTGTAAAACTCCGGAGTATTGAGTTTTGTTTTATTATTTTCCTACGAAAAAGCGATATTCCCCTCACTCCCCCAATTTGCTTGGTAGATATTACTTATATGATTGTGGCGTCCCACTTTATAATCTATTGCGCGCATCATAATAAATAAATAGTAGCATGCAACGTATATATATTGGTGTGTAAAGCTTCAGCTGTTTTTTTTGCAATCAAGTTCTAAATCTATGCTTACCGATATATCAACACCAGAATCAATATTAAAACCAACAAAAACTATCCAGAACAATTTAAATTTATACACAATATACTATATACATAATATAAAATTATATAGCATTAATGTAAAATAAAATTTATAACATTTATATTAAAAATCTTTTTTAGACCTTTAATGTCGCTATTTTGGCTTATGACATTTTGGATAAAAGTAAAATATAACGTACGAACTATTTAAATAATAATACACGTTTCATGCGTTTCTTTATTTACGTGATAGCATGTAGCAAGATAATTTAACCGTATAATACCGCAAGAAAAAGAAAATTTATATAATTATTTGCTTCTGACGTCATAATCCAATATGGCTGCAGTAAGAGACTAGAAAGAAGAGTCTCATTGTACATATATATTGTATATATTGTACACACACACACACACACACATACACACACAGACATATATATATATGTATGTATACGTGTTTGTACTTGCATCTGTAAAAAAATAAAATTTTATCCCCATTTTGACGTTTTCTTTTATGCTACATTATATTATTAGTTATAAAACTAACGACGGTAAATCCAATTTCTCAAGTGACAAGAATTTTCTGCAGCGTGACAATTCCGAGTTAACCTCGAGTTCAGCTCCGTTCTTCGGGGTCTTGTAAATCGACTAAACTGATTGATATCTATCCATATATAATATTCGCTTCTAATCTCTAGGACAAGTGCTATTTTAGCACACGGTTATCCTGTTTTGCGAGAGGATTGTGAATAATTATCCAGCCCTTGTTACGATTAATATTGCAGCTTTTTATTATTACGGCGCTGCAGTTGCGCGGACATAACAGCAGTCAACGTCGAACAAAGTCGGAAATTTATCGCGGACAGCTCTCTCAGTTAATATACATAACGCCGGCTAATATTCGTCGCGCGTTTGTATTTTTGTATAAATTTTATATCCGACAGCAGCCGAACGCGGCCGAAAATATCCGAGATTTTTAGTCCGTTGCATCCATCGCACGTCGAACACGCTCTTCCCTCCTTGTCCTCCCTCTTTGGCTATACATTCTACCTCGTCCCTTCGCTCGCTCGATTCCTCTCTATATCTCCGTTTCTCTCCCTATCACCGTCCTCCCTTCGTACTCTCCGAACCTCTCGCCCTAGCTTCGAGCAACATCGGACGAGTTCGCACAATGTCGGCTCTGACTTTTGTTGCGCGCTTTGTAGAACGTATAAACGGATGAAGCTTTTTCCGGGGCCGGCAACGTGCGCTACCTTGGACAGGATGCGAACGGGGAGTAAAGTCAGAGCCTCCGAACAGAGTGCTCTCGTGAGCGCTTTTGAGTTTTTGCTCATTAAAATGATCGAGACAAAAGTAGGAAATATCGATCTCGTCTAAATAAATTACGTAATTCTACTTCAGCAAATTAATTCAAGAATAATAACGAGAGTAGCGGCAGTTTCCGAAGAGAAAGTATTGTTAATTCGAGAAAGAGAGCATATAACCCTCCAGGATTCGGTAATACGTCATTCATCCTCGGTCGAGAGCCGAGTATAACCGTCACCGTGGCTGCAACACGGGTTATACTCGTAGACTCCGGCGCTCTCTCGGTCCCCGATGTTAGCGCGATCGATACGACACGACCATCCCCCGTCGTCAGCCCGGCCGATTTTTTTCCGTTCGACCCTCGCGCCTGCGCGCACCTCGGAGAGAGCGGCAACATAGGTAGGTAGGAGGGTACGTCGCCACCCGGCGAAGCGGGACCGAGCGAACGAACGAGCAAGCGAGCGAGCAAGCGCGCGCGGCAACAGCAAGAGAGACAAGGGCGAGAAGCAAAGCGGGGCGAGAAACACGGATGAGAGAGAGAAAGAGAAAGAGAAAGAGAGAGAGAGGAACGAGGCGAGGCAAGATGAGGGAAATAGAGAGGGGAAGAGAGGTGCGCCTTTATTATAGCCGCGCGCTTCTGCCATATCCCCGGCGCTCGAGCCAGAAACTCGGCGCTGCCAGGGATCGCCAATACCAATTTTGGAACGCGCCAACGTCGACCGAAATTCACAAACGAGATCTCGGAATTAGCAGGGAAAATGTGGGACCGCGCGGCTCGATCGATCTCTCGAAAAATATCAGGAGGGCAGCAGGAGCGAGATTAAATGTATTTATGTACATTACGTCGCGCGCGGGGCGCAACGCGAGAAGCGGGGGAGGGTGCCCGTGGGTGGCGGGAACGGGGTGACGCATTACGCGCGGACGACGCGAAACGAGCGGGCGGGTAATTTAACGAGAGGCGCTGCATTATTTTCGAATGGGACGTAAGGACGTTCTCTCCGCGTGGAGATATCGCGTTCTCTCCGCTTGCGTCTTGCGCGCTTTTGCAAGCACGAGGTCTCGAGTCCGGAAAATAAATCTAACGAGTACCACTCTCTCTCTCTCTCTTTTCCTCCTTCTCCGCTCTAGACTTTTGACGTTTCCCGGCAAATTATTCGGTGCTCCGTCCCTTAGGGAGATTGTCCTCGCGGATTTAGCGCCTCTGACGAGAGATTCTTTAATGAATTTTAGATCAAGTTTTGATAGTAATTTTATGATATATTTTCAATTTTTTTGTTTACATCACATAGTATATGCACATACTATCTAGTGTAATTCAAATATCAAATAAATAAGTTTTTAGATTGTAACTTGATAAAAAAATGATAAGGAGCAAGACGCGTAGATAAATATTCCATAACCGTACGTCTATTTATATACTTGTTTTGCTTCATCGGTTCGATATTTTCGAGGCAGTTCGTGATTGCATCGGTAAAGAGGAAAATTCGGTTAGTGTGGGTCCTAAAACGCGCGCGCTGCATTCGACATTAATTCGAAATAAGCCAAAGCCTTGATTACAACAAATGTTTTCTCTCGCGGATGAAAGTTCTCTTACACAATATCAATGAATATTACATCTGGCGGCGTAGATATAAAAATGTATATGTTTCAATATTGAGCGTCGTATTTTTTTTTTTTTTTTTTTTTTTTTTTTTTTTTTTTTTTTTTTTTTTTTTTTTTTTTTTTTTTTTTTTTTTTTTTTTTTGATCGCGAAAAAGCGATGCGTCCGTTCGGGGTTTGCACGTTATTATTTGCTGACGACGATTGCAGCGCGCCAGCGAATTGCTGGAATTTATCACACCGAATTTGATCTCTCGTTTCCCGTTGTTAAAAGTATTTTAGATAAATATATACAGACATTTTCGTATCAATTGCTTAAAACTATTTTAACGTGAGTGAAAAGAAACTGGATGATGAATCAAGTTGAACTCGAAGACCAATGTCTCAGAGAAAGTACAGTAATCGGGCATGAACGTAATTTGTTGTTTTTTTTTTTCGATTATAAAACTCAGGGAAATTAATTAGATCTAATGAAAGTAGATTTTATTGCGCGAATTTTTAATTAGAACCTTCATTTCGATTCGTCGCCGTTCACCGATCGTAAAATATCTCGCATATACTTAATAAACGATTATGTGACCATCAGCATAACGAGAAGAAACATCGACGACAAGAAATTAAGTGCAAGTCCGTGATGGACCGGTTCTCGGGATTTCTACCCTGAGAAGAACATCGCCGAAAACCAAAAGTTTCGAAAACTGGAAACGATTAGGGAATAGTTGAGCAAGCTGCGAAAAACTTTTAAGATTTTCTAGTCGGCGCGTGACAGGCCGAAATTTCATAAAATAAATCGATTGCTCGAGCAAACCTATGGTTTTTGCACGCGATTATGAAACAAGAATATGTAATAAAATCGAAAAAAATAACCAAGAAATCTAATGTAATAAAATGTAAAATGTTCACGCAAGAAATCCTTTCTCTCTGCGCGTTCATTTCTAATTATAGATAGAACTTTTTATTCCACGAAGTATTAGTTAAGAGTGAGTAAGGATAAAGGAGAGAACGCGCGTATTCCACGTAAGAATCATACTTTCTATAAAATATTCCTTCTTTCGTTATGATGCATCTAGAAAACTTCGACAAATAACACGGAATAAGTAATTGGACCTCGTAAATTGTCACAAATTAACGCTAACGAAGAAACTCAAGCCGCCTTATACTTCGATCTCCGTCTATGTATTCATAATTACCGCGAATCAAATCAACTCGAAATTGTTGCAAAAAAAATGAGATAAAGTCTGTCGCGACATTTTCTCTTAATTATTTTAAACTTGCATCTCAGTGTGTTTATATGTAGTTTAAAGTTTAATCCATTTTTGAAAATTTGCTAACAAATTGTGTATCAAAATATTATTGCACTAAATATTTTTTATCCAATCTGGAAAATGGGTAATTAAACTTGCGTTTCTTTTTCAATTAATAAACTTATAATATTTACATTAACCATTGACACAAATATTTAATCATTTCAGGAATAAAATCATCAGTTTTTTTTAATTATATGTAAATAAATAATCCTTAATTTTTCGAATAATTAACATGATCATTTTCGAAGAACTTTTTTAAAATACGCGGCGCGTAAAATTTTCAAAACTCGTAACTCGAAAAAAAATCTCGCATCTTTTTATTCAAGACCGTGCGCGAGCCGCGAATGTAGAAAAATTGCGGAGTGATAGCGACCGATTCGTTTCCATTTTTGCTCGCCGTTATTATCGATCAGTGATTCGACTTGCGCTATGTACGCAGAAGATATTAGTATGTATCTCGTCAAGATTTTAACATACGGCGATCGATCGAGTCGGAGTTCATCAGCGGCAACGCTATATCCGTGTAAATGTATGCACGTATGTACGCGTGAATGTATGTATACGTACACAATTACGGAAAGTCGAATTCGTCATTCCGCGGTCGAAATTCGGTCCGATCCGTTCTCCGGGCGTATATATTAAG